TTACAGCGGTCCCCGACCTTTTTTAGGATCGGTCGGCCAGTAGAAGAAGAATCATTAAATTTTCAAAATAAAACATCTTTTAGTCTACAGTCTGTTAGTGTCAGGGTCTGAATGACCTGTTGTTGTTGTTGTTGCATTGGCAGATTATCTTTAAATAAAAAAAGTAAAGGGATATAACTGGATTATTTTTGAATGAAGTAAATTAGTAAAACTGAAGTTTTTTTTTTTTTGTATAAACTGTGTTTCACTGCGACCCGGTACCACATGACCAAGGGACCGGCATTGGTCCCCGGACCAGGGGTTGGCAACCCGTGATATATAGTGTTAGTATAGTAGCCAGAAGTAAGACTTCTATATGTGCATGCGTCAAGCTGTGTACCTGCAATGTCAGCATTTTTCCCTACCATGATAATGATTTTCCAAGACTGAATGAAAAATGGTACAGCTACCAATCAAAGAACACTACAGTTTTAACTACCTTATAAAAAAGAGAGACTTTGTCTGTGTTTTTGTGTTATTATTGTTTGATTTATGTTCCACCTCCTCGTGTCTGTCATACCAGAGCATGTTCCTCTACCTACACGGACCAATCCCTTCCATCCCTCCTGGGCACTGCAGGTGTCTTTCAGATTGATGACATGAGAAAGACTAGGGCACCTCGGCGTACATTAGGCTGTGAAACATAGCGGTAATCACGACTGTGAGTGTGTGGTTTGCCTGGATGTATCAGCTCATTTTGGAAGGCATGTCTTGCCGCGATGCCGAAAGGAACAAAAAAAAGGCTAAGTTTCCTGAAGTGTGATGTCTTGCAGTTCTTTGCTGCATCCACCGTAGCTCTTTCCTTCTTAGTGTCTATATCAGTACTGCTATCTTGTCTTTCTTCCTTTCCACGACTCTTCATCTTCCTTCTTCAGTCAGATAACTTCCTGCGCACGCTAGTTCACTTCAGGTAGAAATGAGGGCGATAATTCAAAGCCGGGCGGAGCATTTAATGCCCGCGGTTTCTCCAAATTTGATTTGTTTCTACATTTGTAAGTGGCTTTTTGAGTGCCGTCTATCAAATCGTTTACAGCCTCCCGCAAAGAGATTTATTTTTTTCCAAATGCTGTTACCATGGCTCTAGTCTTCAAACAAAGGTTTCTACAGAGCTTAACTGCTTTCATTTCCCCCAGTTACTGTGTTTGCTCAAACAGAGCCAGCTTCTTTTTTTTTTTTCTTTTCTAGCAATCATTTTTTCTGTACTTTCAGCAGAATCATCACATCGTATTAGTGGGAAATTTCTGGATGTTTCTTTGTTCATCCACGCAAAATAGTCCCAGTCATTGAAACTGCCTCACACACTTATATTTAGACTCACTGGTATGGAAAAGTTCACATTTTGAACTCAACATTCATTCACTCACTGGTCTCAAGGTGGAATTATTAACGGGTGTTTAGAAAGTTATACTAATGAGTAATGTTGGCAACAAATTTTTAAAATTTGTATTACGTTACAGTCACAAATGTGGCTGTATCAATTGCCCAGGTTGTGTCAGTAAACTGCTGCACACCTAAACCGACCTGTTAATTTATCGAAGCACTGCCACTGGGTCAGGAGGTCTTGTCTCCAGAGACGCAGTTGTTAGTGCGGCTCATATTTAGTGGCTCGTTATTCTTCAGTTCAGGTTGAGCATTTACTCAGTTACTGTTTTATTGTTTAACGCAGAGGTGTCAAACATACGGCCCGTGGGCCAAAACCGACCTGCTATGGGGTTCAATCCGGTCTGCTTGATGAATTATAAAAGTGAAAAAAAAAAAACGCAAAAACACTTAATGTTTGTGATGTTTTGCCATAGTATGTTTCATTAAATATGAAAATTTTCTAATATACTTGGTTTTTGCAGTAAAACGAGGGGGGGGTGAGGGGAGCATGCATTTGCTGTTATTTAGGGTAATTATGTTATGATTGGACTAGTCTGGCCCATTTCACATCCAATTACGCCGTATGTGGCCCCACCGAAATGATTTTGACACCCCGGTTTAGTGTGTTGTCTAATGGAAAATAGAATTCTTACAATCAACCTTGAAGGACAATATTCTTATTCCATCAGATCCATGGAGTCCCATACATAAGTCAGACTGTTCTGATGGCAGTGCATTGAAGAAATGGAGAGCCATCTCCATGGAAGTGAAATTAGATAAAAGAAAATGCTCGGAAAAAACGGAAACACTGCGGAATATTAGCCGGTTGCTTTTGGGTTTGTTCATCATTGGTTATCATCAAGTTGTAGAGGTCAAAAAATAATTCATCGGCCCACTTTCATGGTGGTCTTCATTGCAGTTGTGAGTTACATCTTGGCTAGGAACCAAACCCCGACAAACCCCGACAAAAGTCGAGGAGTCGAGCCTGATTCTTGACATCTGACTGAATTTGGTGAATGGCAAACTGAAATCCTTTACTGTCTCACCCTGAAAGATTGATTCAGTTTAGCAGTGAAAACATTTTGTATTTATTCATTGCATTTGATGTCATGAGCTTTTAGGAATTTTCATAAAGTTATCAAAGACAGAATGTCTGACGCACTTACACAGGCATACCCACACACACAGACTTTCTAATGGGATAGCTGCTGTTTTTATTAAAAACATTCCCACACATAACTCTTGCTTATTTCCTCTGAAGCAGATAACTTTGGGCTAAAGTCTCGGGCTTTCATCTTAAAACCAAGAATGCGTGACATGGCTGTGTATCAGACTTGTTTTTTCTAAAGTACGGCGTTCAGGTGTTAATGATGCAGGGATTTGGTGAAGAATGGTGTTAATCAATTTATGTTCTGGATTAAAAAAAAGAATGAATTTGGCAGAATGACAGTTAATTCTATTTTTTTGTTCTAAATAACCTGTGCTGCTACAGGTAAAAAAGTTGAGTAATTCTTTTTTTTTCCTATTACTTTTAGTCCCGTTTTCACAAACCTATCTACATATGCAGTGTAGGATGTTATCAGCACCTGCAGCGAATTCAATCAAATCAGCTATTTACTTATTGATCATTCTTGGCACTCTCTTATTGATATCACCCAGTTGTGTCTCCTTGACCTGCGATAATCCATTTTTGGCCGTACTGCTTATCTCGGTCAACAAACATTCAATTTTAACTTGAAATGATACTAATCAAAGCAGGAAATGAAAAGTAAAAAAGTAGATTGTAGGTACAGTCTAAGTCAGTGGTTCTCAAACTTTGGTATACATACCACCAATGGTACGTGAGGTTGGTACGCGAGCGCTTTCTAGTGGTATGTGGGGTAAATTCATATTTTCGCATTTTCAATTGAATAACTGTGAAACATAGAATGCACAACTAATACAACATTTAGAAAAAAATGTGTAGCTACTGTACTTGTGAGATTATGAATTAGGATGTCTGGTCTTTTTATTTATTTACTTGTTTTTTTTATAGGTCTGGTCTTTTTATTTATTTACTTTTTTATAGTACTATGCTGCTATATTCTAATGTTGGTCGTCATGGTGGTACTCAGAGACCTCAAGGTTTTCTCAGAGTATATTATACAGAGTATAAAACGTTTGAGAACCACTGGTCTAAGCCAAAGTACATGACGTTTAATAGAATTAATTTAATACCATATTGATGAGTTTACCAATTACATTTGTTTTTACCTGATTGCTTAGTAGGTCTATTATACATAGCTAAATTAGCTAAATTAAACAATTTTGTATTTAAGTTAATTTAGATTAACATTAACATTGTTTTTAATGTGCTATTTTATATTAAGTAATTTGCATTTTGTGAAAAGAAAACTCATTAGATGATTAGATCCTAGTCTGGGCCCAGGCATTTTTTTGGGCACGTCCTGCTCGAGCAAATAAATATGCACAATTCTGAGGACAATCGCTGAGGCCATTAGCTGCAATAAATCCTAAATGTAATGGCTACAGGAAACTGTCCAGGCTTTCAAATCGAGCTGTTTGGACCTTTTAAGATAATAAAAACAGACATGTAATCTCAATGCCCCCTGCAGGAGAGTATCGTATCAGTTCATTAATCTACAAACATACTCACATATACTGTCTGACAACGTACGGGCAGATGTGGTCTCACTCTCTTCCTGTCTGATGAAACCTCCACCATGTTTTCGCGTCCCTTGAGGAATTTCCTTTCATCACGTGACACGGTGTTGGTGTTGGTAGGGGTGTCGGCGAACCAGGGGTGGGATGGGGGTAGACATGAGCCAGCTGTTTCTCATCAGCGCGTACTCAAACACAGTCTGTCTGTTGCACCTCTGCTCAGAGGATCTGGGACCAAGGCAGTGAAGCGTAGTTTGAAGAGTTCGGTGGAAAAGAAATTCCAATTAAGGTCATCCCAATCGGTTTCCTCGCAACGTTTGCTGCGTCCATCAAGCATTCCAAACCCTGGTTTTCAGACATACTGGAGTGTTGTGCACGAATCCGTATCCAGAGGTGAACGGTTTGCCATCTGGGAGCGATTACATCTTTTCCTCGTTGTTTCCTGTCTCCCAAACCCAACTGAGTTCTGCCGTTCTGCGGTATGTCTGTGTTGGCTCAGCTCACACTTGTTCAGGTTTTAGTCCCTTTTGCAAATAATGACCTGGATAATAATGACAGTTTTCAGCAGTCAGTCGGGCAAGGACGTCAACATTAGTACATGATGTTTACTTACATACGGAGGATTGTTCTCATGTGTGCTATTTTTCCGTTACACAAAATAATATGAAAAATGTAATATATATAGATACATTTCTAGAGTAGATTTTTCATATTCATTAAAAAATACAAGGTGGAAAAGGTGCCAATAATATGTAAAAAAAATCAAATATTGCTTTTTAAAAAATCTGTGTTATTCTAATATCAAAAACCACCAATAAAACAGGTTTAGAGTCACTTGACAACAAACCATTTATACCACAATATATATCCACTTAAATTTTGTCATTAAAACTCGAAAAAAGTTAAACGATTTGTGTATTTGTGTCTCTGCTTTTCAGTTTTGCGCGATGAATTCAGACAGAACCCCGTAGATGTCATGGTTGCAGCGGGCGAGCCCGCAGTACTGGAGTGCCAACCACCCCGAGGACACCCTGAACCCACGATCTCCTGGAGGAAGGATGGAGCCTATTTAGATGACCGAGACGAACGTATCACAGTAAGGAATGCTACGTTGTTAAATCTAACATTAATTGTTTTAAATCATACTATATATATATATTGTGAGAAACAAATATATTTAAATATATTTAATTCCAAATATATGTATATATTCCAAAGGTAATTAAAAAAAGTAATTCCAAAACTAACTTTTATATATATATATATGTGTGTGTGTGTGTATATATATATATATTCCTAAAAGAAATTTTGTTTTGGAATTAAATATATTTAAATATATTTAATTCCAAAACAAAATTTCTTTTAGGAATATATATATATATAAAAGTTAGTTTTGGAATTACTTTTTTTAATTATCTTTGGAATATATACATATATTTGGAATTAAATATATTTAAATATATTTAATTCCAAAACAAAATTTCTTTTAGGAATATATATATATATAAAAGTTAGTTTTGGAATTAAATATATTTAAATATATTTAATTCCAAAACAAAATTTCTTTTAGGAATATATATATATATACACACACACACACACACATATATATATATATAAAAGTTAGTTTTGGAATTAAATACATTAAAACATATTTGTTTTTCCACAATATAATTACACAGTATACCACATAGAGTGTAGTACATGGTTTGTTGTTTTAATGTGTTTGTCGGTGACTGCTCTCCAGGCTTGCAAAAAAATATTTCAAAGTGTGTTAGTGTAGAATGACAGGTAGAATCTCTCTGGGGGGCTGCGATGGACAGAGCAGTGATGTATCATTCAAAGACAGCGACGGAGCGCAGCTAGTAAGGAGGCTCCTCTGAGGGAAATACAAAGGCTGCTTTTTTGCTTTGAACTTTCTCTGTGTGTGTCTTTGCAACTAATCATCTTCCCTTTGTAGAGTTATGTCTTTACGTAAAGAGTTCAGCCAAATTCGAAATACAAAAAAAAAAACCTAAAGACAGAGCTGCTTCTAAGGCTTTCTTTGTGATGGGGCCTGTTCTGTACATATTTTAGTAGTATAAGTATGGATTCTCATTATAAACTGTTTATAAACTGTTGGTTTAATTATACTTTTTCAATGACCTTTATTTTTTATTCTTTATTAATTTAAACTTTTTCAATGACCTTTATTTTTTATTTTTTAGAACAATTTTTCATAAATGATTGTCGGTAAAACATTTTGACATTGTGGCCTTCAATTTGACCTTTGTTATCATATGAGGCTGTATTTCATGCAGTTTTGTCAACAGCCTGTATAACCTGTCTAAATATGAACATATATTTACTGACAAATCACAACACAGGTGTTTAAATCGGCATTATTTGCCCCATGACAGACAGTGCGAGGCACCAGGGTGACCAGGGTGGGTTGCGAGGAGGAAACTGAATCTCCTGCAAGCTATTAAGTACACAACACTGTAGACAGCCTTGACCACTGACCTCTATAAAAAAACTGCAGTCTGCTGCCACAGGCCTTGTGTCTATAACTGACTGTGGAGCCACACCACTATCTAAAGTCAAAATAAAAGGTTCAAAAGTGTAATTGAAGTCCATGCCCTTAAGAAGCTTTCATCTGTTTGGATATAGGAGAAGCTGTCATGTTTTTTTTGTCAGCTCAGTATGTGGTGCTATATTTTTAATACCTCCTCATCACAGCTGAGGCATCACCTGGTATTCTGTGTTTGCTGACAGTTAATACAGAAACACATATCTAAAAAAAAAATCTGTAATAGACTGTGGAGCTGGTATAAAAAGAATGAAAGCAACACAAGGAGTATATGTTATATATTTCTCCTCTCAGTGTCATATCTGTGTGGTGGAGTGTACAGACCCATGAGGAGAGGCAAACGTTTGAAAAACAGATTGCACAGTTGTCCACAAAGATCTATGAAGACGTGACTGTACATCTTTGTACATCCAAGGGTTCTCTGCTAACTTAGCACATGATTTGGAGAAGGATACAGATAAAGTGGTAATACTCGCAGTATACTGTACTAAAGACATTTTTCTAGATATAACCAGATTGTGAAACCTTTACTGTTCCATCGACAATTTGGTTTGTGTGGGTATAGATATACCAGGCGTGTGCAAACTATTTGACCCGCGGGCCACAATTGTCCTAAAGTTGAACAGGGGGGGGGCGGGGTCAGGAGCAGATGGATGGAGCGTTCGCGTGAACTAAGATAAATGACTTGTAACGTCTGACTTCATATGGATGGAGCGTTCGCGTGAACTAAGAAAAATGACTTGTAACGTCTGACTTCACCGTTGAAGTCAGGCAGACTGACAAACCTGGCTGAAACACACAGCCACAGTGCCAGCTGGTCTAAAAGCTGTTGTGTCAACACAGCTGTACAGATACGTCCTATCCTCTATTTCAGATACGCAGTGGCAAGCTGATGATCACCAACACTAGGAAAAGCGACGCCGGAAAGTACATCTGCGTTGGAACCAACATGGTGGGAGAAAGAGAAAGCGAAGCTGCCGAATTAACGGTGCTTGGTAAGATAGAGCTTTGACGTGCACTGACACACATACATAGTCTGTATGAATCTCTACCTTCAAATGGGTTATAATAATAATAATAAATAAAAAAAATCAATTCATAATTGATTAATTAAATAAATGTACAACCTAATGCCAGATGGATGGACATCCATCCATCCATCCATCCATTTTCATCCGCTTATCTGTTACCGGGTCGCGGGGGCAACAGTCGCCACGACCACCACCCAAATCACACTGCACCGTACCAACCCCCCTGAACCTTCCTGTAGGTGGTGAGTCCACTGGAAGGTACCAACCTCCCTAACCGGGATTCGATCTTGCCCAGGAGGTGAACCCTGGGGTTCCACAGCAATGACAGAGACATTGCCTCTGGGCCAAAGGACCACGCATTCAAAAGTACCCCCACATATAAATAAAATAAAAAGCGTTTGTGTTTCTTATTTTTCAAAATTCATCAAGTGGGCCAGATTAAATCCCCTGGGGGGCTGGTTTTGGCCTGCGGGCCGTATGTTTGACACCCCCGACATAATGTTTTCCATCAGAATGGCACTCTTATCAGTATCACACGGTGCGATGACCTTGGCTGCAGTCAGGCATGTACAGTAACGAACCTCACAGAGCTGTTCAAGGTCCTTCCTTGATGTGCGTGTGATCCAGCTGAATGCCGAAGCAGATCAAAGTTTTTTGGTTGTTCTACAGGTTGTGAATAATAAATGCCTTTTGAGACTGCAGGAGGCTTAGACCCTGAATGTTAAATACTCTTACACTGGATAAAAAAATCTAAATGTTGTATAACCTTAAGGCTTCAAAGCAGCAACACATGGACTAATTACTTTAAACTTAACTCAAATAAATGTGTTTTATGATTTTTTTTTAAAAAAAAACCCTAATGTCTCTCTGCCCTAGGTAAAGTATTGTCTTTGTAGCTTGGAAAATTCAACCTCCCAGTGTTAGTTAGGTTATAATATTGAGTGGAATTTGTGATCGTGTTTGTAAAAAATTGATTTATGGAAATTAACTCCTGCGTTTCTCAATAGTTACGCATTACAAGGTTTTAGTCAGAATTATTTTGTACTTCTCTTCAGAGCGGCCAACTTTCGTCAAGCGACCCAGCAGCATGGTTGTGTTGCCGGAGGAGAGTGTTGAATTCCACTGTGTTGTTCAAGGGGACCCCGTACCAACGATCCGCTGGAGAAAGGATGAATCAGAACTGCCTCAGGGCAGGTAAGGCACGGATATCTGTTACTTTGGAAACTACAGCCTGATCTAAGAAAGAAAAGAAAAAAAAAAGAGAAAAGTTTGTACAGCTTTTCAATTCATCTTTTCTGTGCGTGCTCTTATCCTGCCTGCAGATTCGAAATCCTCAAGGACTACACTTTGATTGTCCACAAAGTGACCTCCACAGATGAGGGTTCCTACACGTGCATGGTTGAAAATATGGTCGGGAAGTCCGAGGCTTCCGCTGTGCTCACGGTGCACGGTCAGTACAACCTGACCCTAATGGAATGTCTTTTTTGTGCTCTGAGGAGTTTGCACACAATTACAGACTTCTTTTCACCGTCCTTGGTCTGTTTAAAGCAGGGGTGTCAAACTCATGTTGGATCAGGGTCCACATACAGCCTGATTAGATGTCAGTTGGGCCGAACCAGTACAATCATAATTAAATGAAGTCCATGTTTTTCCCCTTAATTTCCATGCACAGAACTTGAGATATATTAGAAATTAATTTTAAATGAAATAGTCCATGTTTTTCCCCTTAATTTCCATGCGCACAAGTTGAGGTCTATTAGAAATTCATATTAAATGAAATATAATTTTACAAATTATCATGAACACATGAGTTTGGGTATTTGTTTTACATTCAAAATTCATCCCTGGTTTAAAATGATCCTCTTTAGGTTTTAAATCAGTCACAGAAAGGGAACAAAACGTAACCCCATATCTGTGTACATATCCAAACATAGCAGTGCTCTGGTGACTTCATGGCTTATGATGACAGTAGGACTTAGACTATGATAAATGACATGTTAAAGTCATGCATAAAGGCTAAAATGCTTTTATCAATTTCTACGCCATCTATTGGGAAAACGTGGGTATTGCAGGGAAACGGCAGAAGAAAAATGATAATATAAACAAATTATATCATTTGGAAAAATTTGGAGGGCCGTATTAAAAAGCTGAACGAGCCACATCTGGCCCCAGGGCCTTAGTTTGCGAGAGTTACACTGTCGGTTGAAATTCTTAGTAACCACAGAAAGATTGATTAGGGATTGAACCCGCAAACCTTAGATCCACTTGCTGTAAAGGTATAATTTTAACAACAACCACCAGGTGACCCATCTTGCTGTATTCAAATGTAATATGATACCAGAAATGTGCGTTATATCATTTGGAAAAATTTGGAGGGCAGAAATGTGCACAGTGTTATGTCATCAAATGTCATTTAACTAAAAGGACCTGTAGTTGTCCTTTAGACACATTCTTGTTGCAAGACTTTGTAAAAAAAAAAAAAGCAAAGAAAAAATATGTTTTCCTTTGTCCTGAAATAAATGCAAACTGTGTGCCTGACCTTTCTAAAGGCATTTGTGAACGCAAAAAATGTTGAGCAATAACCACAGCCATCTTCTCTCAGTCGTTCCAAAACCAGCTGTTTAGCCAACCATTCATTTCATTATTGGTCCACTTTACAAATGTCAAGAATTTTTCCATCTCAAAATATGTCTTTGTGTAGACAATTTACAAGAGTGCAGTAATGCACAGACTCTCACTTGTTTAAAGACCAGGTTGTACTGGACACGTACATTTTTTTTTTGAAGAAATTTCTTCTTCATAAAAAATGTTTGATCTCTCGTGAAATTTGTTCTTGGCCCACAGAGTAGATTTCTTTCTGTGCTAGCTACAGGTTAGCACAGCTCAGAGAAGGTAATTTGGGAAAGTTAATCAAAAGTATGGGAACTATAGTGCTACATGTACCACAGTATATCATCATGGTCGGTACTTTGTCCCATTACAATTTAATTTTAGGATAAATATTCTAAAAAGTTAAAAAGAACAGCGTTTATTTTTTTCATTTTCACCGTGCCAATCATTGCATCTAAAATAACTGTATTCATCCTAATCACTCATTTATCTCCTTTTTCTGTTTGTTTTCCTTGTAGTAAACACTGGTAAGTTTCCATCCATTCATCACCATCATCAGACTACACCTGGAAATCATGAGCCCCTGTCATTGTCCTAACTGTAATTCATGTGGGTACACTTATTCAATCATGTACAATAGTTTGATTTAAAAGGTAAATATTCATTAAAGAAAAAGTCTTCCTGACTGACGTTCTAAAACTGGGAACTATGAATTTGTAATTGCTGCGTCTCTTTCTCTTGCAGTGCCTCCAGCATTTGCCATCCGCCCCAGAAACCAGGTAGCGACAGTAGGCAGGACGGTCACCTTCCAGTGTGAGGCCACGGGCAACCCGCAGCCTGCTATCTTCTGGCAGAGGGAAGGCAGCGAGGTGAGTCTGACCTCACTGTCATTACAGGAAAGCGCGACTTCAGAGTGGTTTCTCTAATGCTGCCACGTCGCTCTCCTCTCCAGAGTCTTCTGTTCTCCTACCAGCCACCACAGCCCTACACTCGTCTGTCTGTCTCCCAGATGGGCAGTTTGACCATTACTGATGTTCAGCACTCTGATGGCGGCGTGTACAGCTGCCAGGCTCTCAATATTGCTGGCAGCGTTATTACCAAGGCACTGCTTGAGGTCGCAGACTGTGAGTAGAAAGTAATACTGATCACAGTGCAGTATATTGTGTGGAGGGGGGGGGGAGTTACAGAGCACTCCATTCAAAACACTTTAGTACGAATAAGTAACGGCTAAGTGTACTCTGTGTGGCGGGAACATACATTTCTTCCTTGGATACTAGGAAGAAGTTTGTATTAAAAAGACATTTCAAATCCCTCAAAGTCACTTTAAACTACATACAAAAATAATGGGAAATATTCCGCAGAAATGAATACAACATTTAATATTAATACAAGTGTTTAAAACTAAAAAACTAAAAGACGGCAGTTGTGATAATGGGTGGAGGGTTCAGTCTGAATAAATATCTGGATAAATATGTTTTGAGGTGAACAGAAAGAAAATTGTCCTATAAACCAGCCTACTAATAAGTCATAATAAGTATAATTATATATATATATATACATATAAATATATATATAAATCTACTAATAACCAGCCAGCTAACCTTTTTGTATTAACGTGCCAACACGTACAGTGTCTCTACTCTCTCTGTAAGTCCATAGATCTATAGTCTATGATGGAACACATAGAATCCATATATATGGACGGCAGTCATTCCCACTCTACTCCATCCTGTTTATACATCTATAAAGCCAATGGATATTGATAACCTCATGGCCTGGTGAATTTTCAAAATAAAACATACAGTATTTTAGAGTTTATCCTGTTAGTACTGGAGTGTATTTTGAAATATTGACAGATTTTCTTGAAATGAAGAAAGTAAATGAAAACGACCAGATTGTCTTCAAATGACGTTGCGTGATTTTGTTGCGGCCTTGTACCAAATGACCCACAAGCTGGTCCACAGACCAGGTGTTGGGGAGCCCTGTTCTAAAATATTGAGTTGAGGAATTACTATAATCAACTAAATATAACGTAATCAATGACTAGAGTTGTCCCGATAATATTTTACAAACCAATTTGAGAATGAGTATTTTAATTTGTGGTACTCGCTGATACAGAGTACTGTACTTGGTTGATATCCGAACTGGAATTTAAGTGTTTGAACAATATCATATATATATAAACTCTACTCCATCCTAGTATATATATTATATATATATATATATGTATATATATGTGTATATATATGTATATATATATGTGTATATATGTATATATATATACTGTATATATACTGTATATATAAAAGTTTCTGTACAGCTAACAACTAAAGATAGAACTTCCCTCGAGTTTCCTTCACTTAAACTTTCCCTATTTCTATAAAAAAAATTCCCGAACACTTCAGTTGTTTTATCAAATTCCTCATATAGCAGTAACAGAGTTTGTGAATTACTTTTGAATTGTATACGCTGATGTCTTGAGTTTATGGAGCTGAAGTGAAAACGACTTTCAAACAGGCATCCCGACCCTTCTGAGTGACTGATATATTTTATTCCTTTCCCGACTGGCTTCGAGGTATACTGTGGAGACCGAATTACCGAAGTACCAAAGAGACTGACAAAGCGTGTTATAACCTTTCTGGAGTCAGGGGACTGTCTCATAAGGTTCAAATATTCAGCAGTGGGAGAGGCCGACTCAAAATTTGATATGTCGGTGTAAAGTGTGAGGCTGGTGGTGAGAATTCTTCCTTCAGTTGGGCCAGTGATGCCTTTTTTTTTTTCAACTGGACAAAGGTTTTATCAGATAGAGAAGGAAACAGATTATGACCACGGGGGATTAAACCAACTGCTGACATTTGTTTACCTATTTAAATGAGCTGTCCATCCACAGAGTAACAGGTCACTGGGTTGGCACATGTTTTCGAGTCTGAGTATTTGATAGAAGTATAGGATAATGTTTTTGGTGCATCCCAAGTATTCACTAATCAGGCATTAATGCCAGGGATGGGTTAGGTAGATAATAAGGTCAAGTGATTGTGAAGGATACAGTATTCCCCAACGATATGTTTACATCTGCTCCTGACCCGGCCCCCCTGTCAAATTTTAGGACAATTCAAAAAGATTTGCCCACGCCTGGTATAGATTAAAAATCACTGCTCTTACATCTCCTCCCATTTGTCTTAATAAATTACAGGGGTTGGACAATGAAACTGAAACTCCCGGTGACCAAAGGTGGTAGGCTGACGTTACCCCGGATACCGTGGCTTCTGATACATCACAAAGACTTCCTGTCTTGGTCAGACATGTACATCACAAAGACTTGCTGTCTTGGTCAGACATGCACCAACAGTTTGTCCTCTTTTGAACTCTGATATGTCACCCATAATGTTTTATTTATTACTCTGCTAATTGAACCTTCACACTCTGCTCTTACTGGTGACAATCACTGAAGTTTGACCACCAGGCTGGTCAAATTTAGCCGTGAAACCTCCAACCCTAAATCGGCCGGTGTTTCAGTTTCATTGTCCAACCCCTGGACGTGGAAGCTGTATTCCTGCTCTCTGGACTGGTTTTCAAACTGGTACCGCTTGCAGACTGGAAATACCCAACTCCCCCCAGTGTGGTAGTTGGCCTGGTTACTACAGCTGTGGGAGTGTTTCCCCAGATGTCTGCTTTCTCTACTGGGTTTAACCTCTGGGTTGCCATGGCGATTGTGTATACACTGTCATTTTCTCTTCTCTCTTCATTTACTTTGAAAGTGTTCTTTCTTTTCTTAGTAGTATAATAGGTTTGTTGTTTTTTTTCAGTTAAGGTCAAAGTTGTAATTACAATTATAATTAAAAGGTGATATATTTAGTTTTAAAATTAGATTATTTATTTTAATATCTTTTTACTGTATATAAGGTATGTGTAACTGGGTGTAGAAATATGGAAGAATGTTCCTATTTGTCATATGGCTTTGAGAAAGCTTTGTTAAAACTTCCCTTATTTTCATTTGAATGAAGTTAACAACTTTTTGCTTCATAAAACAGGTGTTAAAGTCGTCATCATTACCATAACAAACAAAGTAAACCTTCATTCAGTTGTTATCCTAATACGGTAGTTTATCGCTCATTCATTTGCTGATAAAATACTTTATCAGAAATAACTTGAAGAAAATGAAACTGTCGCCCTGAGGGATCATGGGAAATTGCATTTGTTGTAAAATTTGGTATTTAAAAGGTTAAAATCGTACCATTCATTATAATATTGTTCTGATCATTAGATGAATCCAAAGTATTTTTCAGTAAAGTACAGGGTATTACTATTTTCTGTGAGCCACAGTCCACTTTAACAATGAACTCTCTGTCTCATTTGCTTGCAATTATAACTTGGGTTTTATAAAAACTGAAATTAAGAAGGTAGGGTCATTGGAATCTGACCCTTTGACCGTTTCCTTTTCTTGCATATGGATGTGAGCTCGTTTTTTGAAGGTACTCGGTGTGGAGTTTTTGAATGACTCTTTTGTGGTACAGTGTTGCCTGTAGGCAGTTTAAAAATAGATGCCATGCCATGTATTAAATTAAATTAAATTAAATATTCATGTGAAGCCAATTGCTTCAGGTTCTGAGTCCAACACTGGGCCACTTGTGGTCATTTTAGGGTCAACAATTAACCTGACCCTGCGTGCTTTTTGGATGGTAAAATATCACCAGAGTAGCCAGAGAAAGTCCACACAAACGCGTAAGTAGGACATGCAAACCCAATACTGAAAAGGTCGTGAAATACCACCGGGAATCAACCGCTGATCTTTTTGCTGTAAGGCAACTGCGCTATCCACTGCTCCATATGTGGCTTATATTAAGTCTATTAATATTCCACAGAAAGTACAGTGTTAGACCTGTCATACGAAAAATACCATGGAATATATTTAAAAAAAAAAAAATTGGATTAATAAATGACCGCAGGAACATAACATATCCTATCTTTTATGGGTATTTTTGTGTGTATTTGGTCTGGGTGGGTGTGAAAAAGCTGTAAATCGTAGGGGAGGGGGTCAATTTAAATATGCTTGGAGGCGCGTACAACTAATTACAGAGTCTGCAGACATGCAATTAAACGACCTGTGTGATCATAAACGGGTGTTTCCGTGAAACGCTGCAGTCCAATATGTACACATAATAATTAAACAACGGTGATCGCTCGAGGGTTGAACAGACACAGTCACTCGGTCGTCTTGCTGAGTGGATCAGTTAGACACCTTGAAACTGTAAAAAAGACAGTCTGCTGTTACTGACTGCCTGCTCTACAGCCACCTGGAAGGAAAGAGCGGCATCTCCTCAGTGGAAAAAAAAAAAAAGCATTATGGGTATACGAAATGAGAAAACAGATGGTATTGTGTTTTATCTTCTTTCTGTGTTTCTGTTTTTTTTTTTTAATACTCTGAAGTACTGAGCTCTCATCCTCTGTCCATACTCTTGTCTTTTATTTAATAGATTTTCATGGAGAAAAATCAGCCTGTGCTACTGTAGGCAGATTGCGAATATTTTTTTTTAAAAATTATTGAACGTAAATATACCACTCTGAAAGTTTTAATATAAACAGAGCAGGAAAGAGGAGCAGGCACAGAGACAGGACATGGTCCCTGTTATCTACGTGGGGTGTTATTAGCTGGGCTTTTCCTCTGTGATTGCAGCTGGCTCCAGCAGCACCGACTGCTGAATGAACGATTAGTTGCTTTTCGCTGGAGGGGAAAAGTTGATTTCTTTTTCCTTTTTGCCGCCTGCACAACCCCGCTCAACCCATTGTTCTGTCTATGTACCAATTTTCCCCCCAATATCTTCCGTATCTTATCTGTCTTCGGTTCTTTGGCAGCATTTTCATTTTCATTTTCCCTACTTTCATCTTTCATACTCTCGTTTCTCTATCTCTCTGCTAGGCTTTGATCTTTTGTGGGCATCAGTTCCCAATTTCCACTGCCATAATGCATCGTAGGGTATCTGTACTTTTGGAATGCGGCCTTTATTCAGTAGTGGTAATCCAGGTATAGACAGGTAGACGGGACAATGCAACCACAGAGACGAGCGGGGGGGGCATTTCAGTCAGAGCAGCAGTTTAGAGCCGACTCTGTTTGGACAGTATTACAGACAATAACTTACAAATGAGGTAATTCAACCCACAGGAATGTGCAGTATCTCGTGACGCACTCAAACCAAGAGTTCCTGTTTGTTAGAAATTAGGATAACAATCCCACAAGAGCTGCAGTGGAGACGGAGAGCTCTCAGTAACGTTCATGTCATATCGCGGTTCTCCTTTAGCTCCCTCAGTACATCGCAGATTTTTTTTTAATCCGATCTCACAAGATTTTTGCTATATATCGTTAAATATAGCAAAAAACAAGCTAAAAGACAGACTTTAAAAATGTGGATTCACGTTTGAAATTGAGATAAGCGCATTTGCGAACGCTAGCCGGTAGCTTTGTACACAGCCCACTATTGGCGAATACAATGTGAACTCTGTACTATTAGCTAATTGAGCATGCTCTTCTGTTCCTCACTCTGATTGGCTCATGCATTGTAACATATCTCAGCATCACCCATTGTCTGTCAGCCATTCTCTCGTTCACTTCGCTCTGTGTCGCCATTTTACAACTCTACTGTGGATATCACTGTGTGGTGAAGGGTAATACAGTCTAGGGAGGGTTGATAACAGTGTGGGGGAGGTTCGTAAAGGGTAAATATATACGTGATTAATACTTCTACTTCGCGATTTTTCCCGTTTTGCAATTGGTCTTTGAACGCAACTACCGCGATAGAAGAGGGATCACTGTATACGTATTTATACTTTATATATTACTTTCATTACTCATTGTAAACGTTATGGTGCCCATTCTTAATGACCACAAGTCAAGTCAGTTTTATTTGTAAAGCCCAAATTCACAAATCATATTTGTGAATTTGGACCTTAAAATATCCTCATAAAAAAACCCAATAGAGGGAGAAATGAAGGTGAATACAGTCAGTTGATCAAAAATGTTGAATTAGCTTAATTTGTATTTTTACCCTTTTTTTATAGTTGGATCAGACCACCCTCCTGTGATCGTTCAGGGTCCCATCAACCAGACTGTATCTGCGGACAGCTTAATTGTGATGCGCTGCAAAACCACCAGCCCTCCATCTTCTAAAGTCCACTGGAAGAAGGACGGTGCTCCGCTGTCGTCAGGAGACCCTCGTTTATCTGTAACAGACACAGGAACTCTTCAAATTCACCACGCCAAGGTAGGAGGTGAAGTCGCAGAGCGGGGTTGAAGTTAGCGAGGCGTCACCTTGTTTCCAATTTCATCTTGTGCTTCTTTGCCTCCTCACAGCTGGGTGATACAGGATTTTACTCCTGTGTAGCTTCTGGTCCAAATGGAGAGGCTTCCTGGACGGCATACCTGCAAGTAACAGGTCGATACATGTAACTGTAACATAGTCCCGACTCTTGTTATACAGTTAATGGTAGATTGTTCTGATCACATTGGTATTTTGTTTTTGACAGATTCTGAAGTCCATGCAGTTCATCCCGCCGACCCAAATGGGATTCCCGGTGCTCCTCTCAAACCAGAAGTGACTGATATTGGCCAAACCTCTGTCACTCTGTCATGGAAAAGTAACCCCAGTGCTTGGGCACCACCATCATCTTACCTAATTGAGGCATTCAGGTTAGTTACATTTAGTTCACATTCTACATGAAATAAGCAGCACAGTATGGACTGCTAGCTCCGAGCTCACCCACATGCCTGGGGACATCTTAAGAAATGGATCCATCTACTGTATCATCCATCAACCCGTCAATGAATCCAACCCAGTGGCGTTCCATGCGTTTCTCTTCTGCCTCTTAATGACGTCATTATGTCGATATAAACCATCCATAATATGCAGAGATGTAGTATAGTATGAGTCAATATTTCCTAGCTTGCTCATGTAGCCACAACAACACTGTTACCAAAGCAACAAATCCACAAAGTACAATTCAGCCACAGCTGCGACATAATGTACATCAATTATACCATAATATTATCTGTGCATTCCAGTTCTGACTTTCAGCACTGGCAGATTTCTTTCAGCCTGGCAACACATAATGCTGAAATATGATTGGATGAAAAAACTCGACTAAAAAATGCTACGGTTTTTCATATTAATTGAACAGAATAATAATAACAACAACAGTAATAATAATAATAATAATAATAACAATAATAATAATTGAACAGAATGCACTATATTATTTTATAATAATTCCTGATAAATATATTGAAAATATGTGACACTATGACACTGTTTAGGCCAGCAGAGATACACCACTGATTTAACCATCTATTTTCTATTTTCAACTCTTTACTTCGGAAGTTTTTGCCCAAATTTTTTAGATTGTAAATAATAATGAAAAAATAGGTTACTGCTTCGGGGACATTGCTGGTCGAATACTGCCTCATTTTGTTTGTATAATTTATGGATTTTTACCAGTATTCATTCGGTGACTCATAGTAGCAAGTTGGGGAAAATGTCGTTACAAATTCCAGTAGGACAGGATTAGATGACTCATTGATTTTTTTTTCGACTCATCTTTTCTGTGAAAATCTAGCCGTTATTTTTTTTTATATCGCTTCTTGGATATAGGGAATTGACGTTGTAGATTGTAAACTCAATGTCTCTACTAATGTGTAATGGATAGAATAAATACTATGGTCAAATACTGTAACACATGCATGGCAGGTAACTCATAATTTTACTTCTCTAATTCTAATTTTATTCCAGTCAAATATAAAGTTAGCGTAAACTACATTTTTATTTTAGGACATGTCCGACATTTAATCTGTAAAAATGTTCTTATTTTGTTTGGTGTTAATATTTTGAGTTTCATTTTTTTTACTTATGCAGCCTGTTCAAATTCTTAATTTCCAATTAAATCATCATCGGTACTAGACTGTTCTATAAATGTTAATCCTCTCTGGCCCACAACTTAGACCAGGTTATACATTTCTTGAGTGATTAAGTTTGACATTAAATTTTCTCATCCCTTCTTGCAGCTACACTTTAGGGAGCAAATGGATGACCATGGCTGAGCATGTAAAAACCCAGTCCTTTGTCCTGAGGAACTTGAAGTCTGGAACTGTGTACCTGTTCATGGTCAGAGCCGTGAATGCTCATGGCCTCAGTGACCCCAGTCCGATCTCTGATGCCGTCAGAACGCAGGGTCAGTGGAGTCTGTAACAGATATGTTTTCAACTTTGTCAACAATATCGGAGGAATTTCTGATACATTTCACTATTTAACTTTAGTAGACAACACAGCCACCATGCAAGGCGTAGACCACCGCCAGATCCAGAGGGAGCTGGGAGACGTAGTGATCCACCTGCAGACACCAGCTGTGCTGTCTTCATCTGCCGTCAGGCTGCAGTGGAGGGTAAGAAAACACAACTGTATGAGCTGCTACGTGTGCAGTTCACTACAGTCTACAGTGCTGTACTGGAAGTGAGGCACATGATTGCAAATAGGGATTTATATAGATATATATAGAGAGATGTACATATATATCTATATATAGAGAGAGTTTACAGTTATGCTTCATTCAAAAATTTAGAGGCACAGGCTCCATTTTTTATTTTTTGCAGACAATCTAACAGGAGCTTTTAATTCTGAGTTAAAGAGGTTTAATCTGGATGTAAACAGTTTTAGAATATTATATTGTAACAGCTGTATATAGTTCAAAACATCCATCAGACATGTTGAAAATAGTCAATTTTATTATAGTCTTAAAACTTGAGATTTGAGGATTATCAAAGAAGATAAAATAAATCTGGATTTCTAGAACAACGTGTTTTTTATTTCTTTTTTACATTTAAAAAAACACACATTAAAATGGTTATTCTTATTGCAATCAGTAGTGTGTTCAACTATTATAAAATATTAAATTAAATAAATAAAAAATATTATTTTCCTCCCATTTTATTACCTTAGGTATTATCTAAGGACAATGTTACAAATGTTTTTGATTGTTATTTATAGTTTTGTTTTTTTAGCTGGAGTCTGTTTTTCTTTGTGCTGACAGTCAAGTCAGCTCCTGCTCTGTGCCTGGCAGACGAAATTTACTGCGTACCTCGTACAGTACTAAAGTTATTTTGAGTATTTAATTTCATTTTCTATCATTTTTCTTAATAAAAACCTCAATGTGTTTTCACAGTCTATCTTTTGTTGTGTAGCCTGGTGCTTGTATTTATAGTTAAAGCTAAGCCTGCAGTGCTGCTGTGTTTTTTTCTTTTTTCACTGGCGTCATGCTGTTCTGCTGTCAGAGAATGCACTGCAGTAATTTGACACCGTATTTTTTTTTTACAGTTTAAAGCATTTTTCTGCTTGGACACACATTAGAACACATCCACATTTTCTTTGAACCTTTTTGAAGGAAACAAATTCAAAATGAGAGTGAAGCCAATTATGGAAAGCGTGGTTGTCTCTTTTAACTTGTATCACACCATGCTACATACAACATGCACATTTTGCACTTCACGCTCCGGTAAGTGCAGTTTTACATCGGTGTACAACATTACATGTCTTACAGGACACCAGACTATTGCACTCTGTTAGAGCTTACAGGACTTTAAATATGAAATATAAGTACAGTGTAATATGAGTGTAGCAGAATTTACTCACCAAATACAACTCTGCTAATTTATGCATCCTGCTCCGTCTCTTCATGTACACCAGGTGGAGCAGCAGTCTCCCTACATCCAGGGTTACAAGGTGCTTTACAGGGCGTCGGCTGAGCACGGCCAGCCTGAGGGGCGCTGGAGTGTCCTCCATGTGCGCAACCCAAGGGAGGACGGCGTGGTCATCAGTCAGCTGAAGAAAGGTTCCATCTATGAGTTCAAAGTGTGTCCCTTTTTCGATGAGTTCCAAGGAGCTGACAGTGAGGTGAAGGTGGTGAAGACATTTGAAGAAGGTGAGTCGCAATACATTAGTATCCTTATATGAACCATGTAGCTTAGTTTGAGTTTTTTTTTATTTTAGTATATTTCAAATAATTACTGTATTTTTCAGACTATAAGTTGCTCTAGAGTATGTTACAGGAGTAGTAGATATTGGTACACAAGCCTAGAGTGCCCTCTAGCAGCTGTTAATGTGAAAATAACAAATGTCGCACCTGACTATAAGTCGCAAACCCAGCCAAAGGATGAAAAAAAAGTGCAACTTATAATCTGGAAATTATGTTATGTGTTATACAATTAAAACATTTTAAGACGTAAATTGAAATGTATTTTCTTTCAATGTTTTATTTTACCTGTAACGTTGAACTGTAAAAATGAGACTTTCATTTTAACTTAATCAATAACTACATGCTTTCCGTCCTCAGCCCCTAGTAAAGCTCCTCAGAGTGTTACAGTGACAAAGAGTGATGTCAATGGAACTGCCATCCTAATTGCTTGGAAACCACCTCCGGGCTCAGAGGAGACCGGAGTCATCCAGGAGTACAAGGTAAGAAAAGGAGACATCTGCATCTGTACCCGCACTGTTCTTTGAAGCTGCTGTTTAAATGTAAATTGTATTATTCCAAGACTCTGATGCATGCGGTGTCTCCACCTTATTACCCCCCTTTGACAGATCTGGTGCCTGGGTAATGAGAGTCGGTACCATGTGAACCAGTCTGTCGATGGCTCCTCCTTCTCCGCTCTCATTTTCAGCCTTGCACCAGGAATTCGCTACAGTGTGGAGGTGGCAGCCAGCAACGGTGCAGGACTTGGGGTCAAGAGCGATGTCACCTTCTTTCAGCTAGGTAGGCGCTTTGTCGAGAAATCTGGGGCAAAAGGTCAAAGGTCACATTTTATGTTCAATTGGATTAGCAACAAAATTGTTAAAGTTGAATTAGCATAGTGGTTCTCAGTTATTTTCTGTCATGCGCCCCCTTGGGGACAGAATTGTTTTCACGCCCCCCGTACCCTCCGACCCACACCCCTGCGAAATTGAAATACTATTGAGAACCTGATAACATGTATAGTTTTATCTGTACAAACCACTGCATGATTTGCTGCCACCTAGTGACTGGAGGCTTATTAACATTCAAGCATTACAGCAGTGGTACATTTATGTCCAGCGGCCATATTCCACTGGAATATGTCAGAGTAGGGGCCCGCCCTACTTTTTGAGAAGTACTGATTGAAGAACTAAAAGAAAAATATTTTAAGTACTTTACAAAAGTCATACTTGAAGTAAGTATTAGCTCTGCTGCTGTACTCTGATGACTTTACACTGTAAATATGTGTTTCTGGACTGCTTTAATAACTGCTGTTATTAAAATATTTTAATACTTTATTTCCCCAATTTCCACAAAGTCCATTGTTTATCATCACTGCTACAATTTGAATTGATAATAAAGCTAAATCTCTTTCTCCCCTCCCGTCTTGCAGACTCTTCCGGCCAGATGATGGACATCAGTGAGGACAGAGACTCGTGGTCTCAGATTTCTCATGTGGTGAGGCAGCCTGCGTTCATCGCTGGCATTGGCACCACCTGCTGGATAATGCTCATGATTTTCAGTGTGTGGCTCTACCGCCACCGGAAGAAGAGAAATGGCCTGAGCAGCACGTACATTGGCATCCGCAAAGGTATGCACTTCAGACAAAGTAAAATATAGTTTGTTTGTACAGATTGTTTAGTTTAGTTTATCCTTTAGTCAGCTGCATAACTACATTCACATCAGCCCCCTGAGACCCAGATGTAACATGTGGCATGTTGTCATCTCAGTGTTCTATACAGGCTTATTTTGATTGGCTAAAAACCTAGATCACATCAAACGACAGAAAACACTCCGCTGTAATCTTCTCCCGACACAAAGACCCCGGGAACACATTTGCATTTTAAGATTATGCAGACATTCAAAGGTTGACCTTCAGTCGCGTATTTGTGGAGTGTCGGCTCTTCTCCGACTCCCAGTCTCCCTGAAAGAACCGACCTGTCAAGCTGCCATTACCACGTCTGCCAGAATATCACTGTTATTTCCCCTACTCTCCTCTTCCTGTCATCTCCCCATTAACCTTCACCTAAACATGCGTGTCAAAAACTGCAGCAGCACAGGCGCGGTGACATATAGTTATTTATGTTTGTACACATCAGGCTTTTATATGAAGACTTGTGCAATGCAAAGAGGAAAAGGTCATGTGCACTGGCACAAAGGAGAGGAACTTGTTATCTGAAATACAGAGTACACAGTATAGTAGTATGAAAAGCACATGGAACTACACTCATTTTTCCTATTCTATCTGTCCCAACAGTTCCCTCGTTTACCTTCACACCTTCAGGTATGTAGCATGTTTGATAAACCCTTTATATTAGATGTTAGCATTCATTTTAAATTATCTCTCGAGTATCGAGAAGGATTTGTTCATTCTAGTGATCACTCGAGAAGGATTTGTTCATTCTAGTGATGAATGAATATGAATGAATAGTGATCACTATATATATATATATATACACACACACATATACATATACATATATACATATATACATATATATGTATATATATACATATATATTTGTCTTTTGTGCTCCCCACAGTATGTTAATTAAAATCCACATTAGAATGTCCAAACAATAGTCTTCTTAATGTGGACTTTGCATTGTTTAAAGATAAACATGAAAATTAGGATTATTATATAATGAAATGTAGTGATGATTATAATTATAAATATATTTTTTTAACTGGATTTCTGAAAGAGGAAGGAAAAGGAAGTAGCAAACATTGTAATTTTATATTTTCCGCAGCACTAGCAGTGAGGTCTTACATTTGTGTATACATATTTTATGATTGAAAATAATTAGGGTTATTATTTATTTAATTTAGGAAGTATTTACCTGTCATAAATTGTAGATGCTAGTACATCTGCTCTGATTTTTTTTTAACAATAAAGTCATGCTATGAGAAGCAGGCGTAGAAGCAGACAGACATTCATGCTAAACACTGACAGTCAGAATTCTGCACCATGAAAAGAAGTCTTTGAACGTGCAATCTTTGGAACTCAGCTCTCAGTTTCCTTGTTTCTTCCCGCCTTTCATGCTTGTGACAACTCAGCACGCACTTTTTCCCCCCTTGTTTCTCTTTCCAGTAGCATTTCAAAGAGGGGAGTCCGTGTGCAGTTCTGGCAGGTGAGTTTTATATATTTTTCTTTTTGAGATCTTTAGTTGAAAAGGAATTTAAAAAAACCCGCACCGACCGTTTGTGAACACTAGGGGGAGGTGTGCACCTTCAGCAAACTGTGATCTAACCGCACACGCCCCCTTTAGCCTTTGGCCTGAGATGTTTGAGCGGAGGAGGGTGTGATTGACAGCACTGTCGGCTCTCTTCATTGCAGACCTGGCCTTCTCGGTATGGGTGAACCTCTGAACCACCTGTGGCCCCCAGACAACTGGCCCAACGCGTGTTCCAATCACAAGACCTGCAGCATTGACTGCTGCAATAACGGCAACGACACCAGTGACAGCAACGTGACGACCTACAGCCGACCAGGTCAGTGGGAGCCGAGGTCATGTTGTACACACATGTGGGGCGATTCCTGTCGGGATTATTACCTGTCATGTCAGTGCTTTTCCATTAATGCCTTCTGACAATGAAAACAACAGATGAAAACTCAATAATTACAAACTGAGGGATCACAATTCCATATAACCATAATTTAAAAATTCAGTCAAATCCTGGAGCTTTTTAAATTTAGACTTCTGTTCACTAAGGCTAAGAATAATCAGATAATTTCAATATTTATATCTTTATAATATTTTATATATTATAAAGGAAAAGAATAAGATATACATATATAAAAATTATGTATTGCCTATATTATCCATCCATCCATCATCAACCGCTTATCCGGGGCCGGGTCGCGGGGGCAACAGTCTGAGCAGGGACGCCCAGACTTCCCTCTCCCTCGACACCCCAAGGCGTTCCCAGGCCAGCCGAGCGACGTAGTCGCTCCAGCATGTCCTAGGTCTTCCCTAGCACCTGTCCTAGCTGTCCATGGCATGTGATGTAAATGCCCAAGCCACCTCAGCTGACTCCTCTCGATATGGAGGAGCAGCGGCTCTACTTTGAGCTCCTCACCCTATCTCTAAGGGAGCACTCTGCCACCCTGCGGAGAAAGCTCATTTCAGC